CAGATCAGATAAGTTCAGATCAGATGAGTTAAGATCAGATAAGTTCAGATCAGATGAGTTAAGATCAGATAAGTTAAGATCAGATGAGTTAAGATCAGATAAGTTAAGATGAGATAAGTAAGATAAGTTAAGATAATTTAAGATCAGATAAGTTAAGATCAGATCAGATAAGTTAAGATGAGATAAGTTAACATCAGATAAGTTAAGATCAGATGAGATAAGTTAAGATAAGTTCAGATCAGATCTGTCTCCATGAGATAAGACAAGTTAAGATCAGATCAGATGAGATAAGTTAAGATCAGATAAGTTAAGATCAGATGAGATAAGTTAAGATCAGATGAGATAAGTTAAGATAAGTTCAGTACATCAGTCTCGACACACTGGTGCTCGGTGTGTTTCCATGTGTTTACAGAGAAGTCATCATGGCGGCGCCTCCTTTCATCATCACAGCCATGTGAGAGCAGCGCGCGCTTCTTTGCATCCTCGTGAGTGTCTTCTTCGTTGCCAGGACGACCAGAGGGGCTGACCCCGGCCACGTGACAGGCTGCAGCAGTTGTAGTAGAGAGTGTGTGTTTGTGTGTGTGTGTGTTACAGAGTGTGTGTTGGTGTGGGTGTTAGTGTGTGTGTGTGTGTGCCGCCCCTCGCTCAGTTCTGCCCGGGCAGTCAGTGGAGCTGTTCCCCCCGCAGACAGGCAGCTCAGTCCGGGGAGCTAAAGATGGAGCAGTCGGCGACGGGGGATCGTATTTTCGCCGCGGAAGCCATACTGAAACGCCGCGTCCGTAAGGTGAGACACACCGCCGCCGTCCCGCGTCTTTCGGCCGCCTGCAGATGTTGGCCCGCGGTCAGCTCGGCTCGGCTCGGCTCAGCTCGTGAATTTACAGCGCCAGTCAAGGGCCTCGCTGCTGGCGGATGCCTGTAGTTAGCCACAGCTAGCTCGATGCTAACTAGCACAGGCGTGTTAAAGTAGGGCAATAAAAACAGCGACACAAAGAAGAGGCCGGGAGCTGCGAGAGAGGAGGGAAATGGAGGGGCCTGACTCCTCTGCTGGAGCTAACAGAGGCTAAAGCTACACGGGCCACTATCTCCAGGAGAGAGGAGGCTCATGTTGTTGGAGAGGCTGTGCTCCTCTGCAGCCTCCGAATCACGCTTCATTAAAACGCATTAGTCCCAGATCTCGTGTCCTGTGGAGGAGGCAGCAGCTCACCAACCACAGCTGGTTGGGTTTTTTTTATTTTATTTTTTTTATCAGCCTGTTGTGGCTTGTATACTGAAAAAAAGACCCTATAAATAAAGGGTGGATGCCATCTTAAGAGACTGGGTACACACAGTCAGGCCTCCGGTTACTGAACTTCACAGCTGGCCCTCCTCCTGTTGAGATGCAGATGTGCTTTTGTTCAACCTAAACTGGGCAATTCCTGTGTCACAGCAGAAAGTTTTCAGGTGTAACACACCACCACAGGAAATACACAATCATTAGAACATGCTCCACAAAAGTGTTATGTGGATAAATACAAAGTTTATTTCCATCTTGGACCAAACAAAACTATTTGAATGCAAACACAAAATCTCAAATCTTGAATGAAAAGGAATAGAAAAAGGAATAATCATAAATAAACAAAGCAAATCATTCAATATAATTAAAAAATTAAAAAGCTGCTGGCCAACACAGCCCCTAACATCCCTCCCTATTAGTTCCTAAGTTACAATTAATTTTATATCATTTACAGAAGCTCACAACATGATTTACCGGTCACAACAAAACTCAATTAAGACATTTAATTGAATTTACTCAACATACTGGCTTTAATAGTTATTTTAAATATAATGTCTGTTTTGGATTCTCTGGTTTCACCAGTACAGCCTGTTTTGGCTTGTATACTAGAAAAGACCCTATAAATGAAGGGTGGATGCCATCTTAAGAGACTGGTACACACAGTCACTGCCCCTTCTTTTTGAGATGCAGATGTACTTTGTTGAAACTAAACTGAAGTTCCTGTGGTGCAGCAGAACGTTTCAGGCACATAACGCACCATACATGACATATAAATACAAGAACATGCTCCACAATACTATAAAACAATAAATATATCAAGAATGAAGATATTATATTCCGGTGTAATCGAATCGCCCGCACGGAAACAGACCAGAACTTCCATATAAAGGCTTGATATGAGCTCTCCATTCAAACTTTATTAAGAGCGACGCTTCCATTTTTTGGCAATGCAGATATTTAATGGTTGCTGTGCAGCTCATGTTCCTTCTGTGTGGAAAAGGGTTTGTGAAAATCATGACTTCATCGAGTGTATGGGATTTTAAATGGGAGAGGGTGAGCTCAGCGGTAAAACATCCACAACTAAAAGTGACGTTCCCTAACTGAAATATAATTGAGCGCAAGTATGATGTTTGCCAGACGAATATCCAACCTGACAAGGACTGAAACATGGTTAGATTAATGTAATTATGTTGTTCTGCTTGAAAAGTGTCCTGCAGGATTTGATTCCTTGTAAATGACAACAAAAATCCAACAACTCCCAAAATATAGATTAGCGTAGAACTAAGATCGCTTTTAAAATCCGTCTTCATTGTCATATAATTGCTGCTTTCGCTTCACCACCTTCTGTCTTGTTTTCTGCAGGGGAGTATTGAATACCTGGTAAAATGGAAAGGATGGGCAATGAAGTAAGTGCGACTCATAACGATGAATGTAATGTAAATATCACAACCTTCGGTCTCTTTAAAACGAGGTATTTCTCTGTGCTGTGTTTTCAAAATGTCCTCATATCAAACCTGGGATGTGGATTAAGTGGTTGTTGCTCCATCCTTGTTCAGGCACAGCACCTGGGAGCCAGAGGAGAATATTCTGGATGACAGGCTGATAATGGGCTTTGAGCAAAAGTGAGTAAGAGCTGGTACACGATGATAGAACATGCACCATAGCTGCTGTCAGAGCTGCCCTCGTGTCCTGACATTTTCTGGTGGGGCCGTATGTGACAACGTAAATGTCAGTTGCTCCCGACATTTTTTTGGAACTTTTCCTCTCAGCCGGAAAATGTCAGTGTGAGAATACGGCTGGAAAATGTCCAGAAGCCGATGGGCATGTTGATGGTGGTTCTGACACGTGACGGACACAAAACTGGAAGAATATAAATATCTCAGGATGCACAAGAGGAGTTATACATGTAGGATTTCAAATCTTATAAAGCTGTCTGTTCTCTTCTCTTTTGATTATAAAAAGTCTATCTGAGCTGAAGTCCTTTATTTCTGCTGCCAGTGCGATGCATTGCTGGATGTGAGAGTCGACGTTAAGAGTGAAGCTAAAAACAGTCGCCACGAAACTGACAAAACTAAAATGAGACATCAAGTAGAAACTAGAACACGAGAAGACAGAGAGCAGCCGTCTTCAAGCAGTCTCTGTCTCTGACTGCTCTACTTTTACACAACCACAACTTTCATCCACCTTCTAATTTGATTTGTTTCATATAGCTGCTCATCGAGACGTCTCACTCTGTTTTTAACTTGTTTTGGTGAACTGTTGTTTCCCCTTTTTCAGGGAACGGGACAGGGAAATGAACGGCCCGAAGAAGAGAGGACCGAAACCCAAAAACTTAGTCATGAAGGTAGATTTTAATGTTTGTGAATTTGCATGATTTGAGCTTCATGTTCTCACGAAGGGGTCAAAGGTGGTGTCGTTGGCTGATTTAGATGTTAGCTATATTTAATTATATATATTTTTTAAATTTCTTTTCACCTGCTGCCCAGCTGCATTTAACTTTTTTGGTATTTAAGCAGCTTCTTTCGGCATCTACATCTGGACATATTAAACCTGTAAATGTTAGACTAACATTGGAAGCAGATTGAATATTTTAAAATCCTGTTATTCAACTAAACTTTTTCTGTGAAAGTCAGAAACTCCCTCCTGCAAACACGGGTTCTTAGGTGTATTGTTTCTTTCAGGCACGTGGTCATAAAAAAGAGCCCAGCAGCCAGGCCTCCAGTGTCCGTCAACAAGCATCCAGCGCCCGCCTAGCCTCCACCGCCCGTCAGACCTCATCTCGTTCCTCTTCCATCCGAGCACCTCCCTCCTCTTCTGCCTCACCTCGTCAATTGGCATCTTCGTCCACCTCTTCCTCAACTGTTGCACTCTCTCCTAAACTCAACTCCCTCGCAGCCACCCACAAGCTAAAGAAGGACATTCACCGTTGCCACCGGATGTCAAGGCGTCCTCTGCCCCGCTCAGACCCCATGGGGCCTACTTTCTCCAACCCTGGTGGTTTCCCCTCCCGCATGCATGTCTCCCCGTTCTCCGAGACCGTCCGCATCCTCAACCGCAGGGTCAAACCACGAGAGGTCAAGAGAGGTCGGATCATCCTCAACCTGAAGGTCATTGACAAGCCAGGCAGGGGTGGCACAGCTGCTGGCAGTAGGAATATTTCAACAGGACGCCAAAACATCCCTTCACGCAATCGCATCATTGGGAAAAAGGGAGAGGCCCCATATAGACCTTTCCAGCCTCCTCTGAAGATGCTGGGGTTCCCGATGTACGGGAAGCCCTTTGGGCTGCAGTGTGGAGGCCCTGCAGCTTTCCCATCCCACCCAGGGTCATGCTCTAGCACAGCGACCAGGGACGGCCACACCACCTCCTCTCAGTATAAGTCACCTCCATCTCCTTCCAGCTCCAGCGGCTCTGAGGGAAAACCTCCCACCACCTCCCAGACCCCCACTGGAGCCTCACCTTCCAGCGAGGATCCCAAAAGAGCCAAGCAAGCCGCTTCCGCCCCATCCTCGGATGCAAACCCAGCGGTTTCAGCATCACCTTTCCTCCCCTCCTCACCCTCTTCTTCATTGGAAGACAACGACGAGGAGGCTGGTGCCCTGGACCGCGTGGAGCCCTCAGAAGGAGCCAGGAAAAATCCTCGCCAATGCCAGGCTAAACGCCAACCGCCCACCACTCCCCCCTCCGTTCCACCCGGGGACCAGAGCTCTGCCCCCACCGAACCCAAGAGGGTGCCTGCCGAGGGAGACCCTGACTGGCATCCCGAAATGGCGCCAAGCTGCAAGGATGTTGTGGTCACTGATGTCACCACCAACCTTGTCACCGTCACAATAAAAGAGTTCCCCTCCCCTGCCTCCCCCTCTGCTAGCCCCGAAAATGCCTCCTCCCCTCCCCCTGCAGCCACCTCCGACGACCCCTCCCCTGCCAAGCCATAGGAGAGCAGATGTTATGAAGTCGATCGCCATTGATATGAAAATATCATGCCAGTGTTGCCACTTCAGCCCCCTCCTACCTGCTCCTTCATGGTTTGTCCATATTTGTGTATCGATAAATGAAATGTACCACCCAGCCATTGAATAGTGGGAAAAAAAAGCATATTTTTATTAAAAAGAAAATATATGAATTTGAAGAGGGGCAGCTAATACGCCCTTGTCGACGCTTAAATTGCCATATTTTGATCAATTGCACATCACTGACTCTTGGGAGCAGACGGAGAGGAATGATGTTTGTTTTCTTTCACTCGTTCCAGACATAATGAGTTTATCTTGTTTGGTGTAACACAAACAGGAAGTGTTGTCCATCTGGTGTGTTGCTTGAGCCTTTATCAAGTGACTTGTTGGTGCATTTGAAAGAAACAAATATATTTTCAGATCCACGCTCTGCGGCGGAGGCCGATCCAGACGGCCTTCAGGTGTTATGCCAATTTCCCGCCCCCTGTTTTCATCTGAAGTCCAGCTTGTTAATGATAAATGAGGTGTTGTGTCTTTGCACTTAACATAGTTGGACTCTCATATTGCATCAATACAGCGAGGTAAATGCAATGCACTTGACTGCATCAAAACAAAATGACCTATTCTATGTAGTTCATCAATTTTTCAAGGCCTTTTCCTCTTGTTCTCTTGAACGCACATGCATATACGTACAGTATGCGTAAGTATTTATATGCACGCACAAACCTTAAAAACTGCAAAGAAAATACTAAAGCAGTAGTTTTTAAGTTATTGCTGTCCTTACTGTCTCTCCTTGCTTGCCTTGTTTTCTCACAAACCCACCACCTTTTTCTGTAACGTCCTCCAAGACTCTAAACTGGCCTGTGGTTGGTCATGAAATATTCTCCTTCACGTCTTTTAACTTCTCAACATGTCAAGGTCTAGAGGGTCCATGAGCTGAACACAGTTTTTAAACTGAAGCTACCAACTGAGAGCAGCTAAAAAGTGTCACTTGTTGAAGCTGTGAGCTACTTGGTTCGTGTTTGTTGCTTGTTCAAAACTTGACAGGTTTGCCTGTGAATATCTTCTTCGTTTGGCTGTCGTGGGTCTGTCTTTCAGCCAAGTGCTTTATCTGTGGTCCTGATGACCACTCTAAGTCTCTACAGTGCAGACACTTTGGACCGGAGAAGTCTGGGATGGAACCACCGACCTTCTGGTTAGTCGACGGGCTAGTCGACTCCCGAGCCGCCTCTGATGGGAGCTGAGGTTCCCCTGCTGCTCTTGGTTCAGTTGAAAATGTTTTTTTCTTCATGAAGGGTAAAAATAGCAAGACAGTAATTGAATTACACAACTTTGTGTGTGCCCTCTGTCAGTGGCATCATGGGACAGCTGGAAACGATGTCGTGTAGCTTGATGGTCAGGAAATAATCTTCACTTCATAAGGTTTGATCCTTTAAAAAAAATCTTTATTCGAGACGGTAGTCTTTCAGTTTGAGAGCAGGACCTATTGATTTAATGTTGTAATGCTTTCAGTCAAAACCTTGCACTTGCACTCAAATAGCCCCTGCTTGTGCTCTAACTGTTCAATTGCACTCAGATATTTTGCTGCTTTGACGGATTTTCCGCTCCGCAGCTTAAGCTCTTCTTGCGCTCAGACCTCTTCTGTGCAATAGTGAAAGTGAAATATCTGCTCTTGGATTTTTTTTTTCTTCTGAGCTTGGACTTTTTTGTCCAAATTCCCCGACCAGTGGAATGTCAGGTGTATTGTTAAAAAGTGAAATAGTCCAACGCCCACACGCCAACAAGCTCTTTACCATGAAACTTTTTGACCCTCAACAGAATCTGAAGTTCAGCCCATTGAACGCAGACTCCAAACTCTTTCTCTGGTGCTTTCTGCTCTTTCTCGACCTTCCCTGACCTTGACTTTACTCTGGTGTACCTGTGTGTTACAGTATTCAAAAACAATCTTCCGCATGTATTGCCTTATAGCTGCTCCACTCAACCCCAGTTACACTCCAGGCGACCTTTGCCTCGTCTTACTTGGCTCCTCTCACAGAGAGCAGATTTAATAAAAACACTCTCAAACCATAACTTTAGTGTGGTAACTTTAAGAATCACCTCATCGTAAACTGTAATAACATGACTGCTTTTGTTATCATCTTCTCTACAAGTCTACAAACACTGACGAGGAAGATGTCGCCTCCTCTCCTGTCACATACTGGATGGTTCTAGTCATCGTCGATACTGTTTCAATACTCAGTGATGGGTTACAAATGGAAGGATTTATTCCAAAATGACAGATCCATTATATGAAGAAATAGACACTGTTCTGAAATGGTCAATAGCTCAAATTCAAATGAAGATACTTTAAAGAAGGACAGTTCTTAACTACAATCCTGATTTGTGTGAACGGACTGAATCGTCTAGAATTTTCCAGAAACACGATAAATTAAAGGATTATTTTCTCCTCCGAATGGATATATATCGCAGTTTGGAATAGATGTTTTCATCTACTATATCTTTAATATCTTTAAGTGGTGGATAGAAGTGACTCTTGCAGTTGGTAGATGTGTAAGGTGTTAGGCTGCTAAGCGACGTTTCTCGTTCTTTTTCTCTCATACGGGGTAGCACAACTCAACTTAGTGGCCTCTCGTTCAACCAAATAGGGCTGTTGATTTTCTTATTTGAATTTTTAAAGCTTTTTTCCCCCTTTTTAAATTGTGTTGCATTTATATATATATACATATATATATATATATATGATGTAATTTTAAGTGCTGGAGTAATTTGGCACTAATTGAGGAAAAAAGGAAGGATCCTTTAAATGTACGGATAAATATGCTTAATGAATTGACATTGTGCTTTTTAAGCTGTTTTTCCCTTTGTACTGTACTTTAATAGTTTGGTTTTTTTTAAATATGCATAATGGTGTTAATGTGATGCTTTTTATTTGAATGCCATTTTTTAAAAATAGTCCAACATGGGTTTGCGCAGAAGACGAACCCTGACTGATTTTAATGTGTGAAGACTGTGGTTCTGTCTGTTTTTATGCTAATATGAATAATGTACATTGTATTGATGGTAATGACGAGGAGGTGGAGGATAATTATGACATTGAAATGTATCTGAACTTCTGAAGCATGTTTTGCAAACCCTTATTGTACAGATTATGTATTCAGTGTCATGTTAACTGTTACCGTTGTTGCTTTCTGTGTTTCTTGTACAAGGCTTTTAATTAAAAGCTCCTTTAAAAAGCAGCTTGCTTCCTTTTTCATTTTGTTTCCTCTAAGAAACGTACGTCCTTGAATATAGGACGTCCACAGGGGGCTATGTATAGAAGCAAAACCCTGACTGAACATCTACAGCTATTAAATCCACTCATATATATATATAGAGAGAGAGAGAGAGAGGACAAATGTGTAAAATTCAGATCTCTTGAGGTAAAAAAATTACTTTTAAAAGGAAAACTCCTCTGTTTCTGTTTGGAAGTGGCCAAATGAAGGAGACAAATGTTCTACAGCTTCATTAAAAACAAGAAAAACAGCATCACTAACCTGTTTTAAGATTTCAATGTACATATAGTCTGCCTTTCATTTGTGCCTGGAATAAGCTCAATCAAACATAAAGACAGAAGTGAAATCATCCCCTCCTTAGCTTTAATGACAAACTGAATGGACATACATTTCATGGCTTTTCACTGTACATGTCTTCTACTCCCATCAGTCAGTCCGCCAGGTGCCACAGGGCTGCGCTGTTGAGCTGCTGTCGTGCACTCCGAGCAGCTTCTGTTTTCAGGAGGAGTGTGAGGGCCGGGGTGATGATGAGGTCGTCACGCCTGGGTTTTCATCTCTCAGTGTTTTGATGCTGCGATGAAAAGCCACATAGGTGGAGTTCAAACAGATTTTATTCATCTGTCTGCTGCTCAGACACGTGAAGGAAGTGAAGAGAAGAAGAGGGACGTGGTCCTGCGGTGTCTCCTCACCGTGTTTGTCTGTTCCCTCTCCGGCACGACACCACCAGGCTTATGAGCCAGATGGAACTGAACAGTGGTTTGATACGAGTGGCCTACATCTGCAAGTGTGTGTGTGTGTGTGTGTGTGTGTGTGTGTGTGTGTGTGTGTGTGTGTAACATCCACCACCTCTGCAGATTAATCCACAATCTGGGCGACTGGTCTCTGCAGGGAAGCTCGACTGGAGTGGGGCTTGAGCCTCTGGTTATGTTGGAGGTTTGTAAAAATAATAATAATCATAATAATAATAATGGTTTGAGAAATACAGGATACTCATGGAAGACAGCATCATGGAAAAGTTGTCCTTAAAAACAAGAAAGGCCAATAAATTCAAATTAAAGATGGAAAAGATGACATCACATTTAGGCAAGTCTGTAAAAATGGGTTTAAAGAAGTGATTTGAAAGACGTCACTGAATCTTCAAGCTGAAGCTCGAACGTTTACGCTCCATTGGAGTATTTCAATTATTCCACATTTAGCCCTGACATACATAAATTCCATATGGATAAAAAGAGTCGACACATTTTCTTGCTGGTTTTTGTCGTTGCAGGAGAAATAAAGTAAAAGCTGGAAATGTCTCATTTCTTTGTGTGAATATTTTTTCCCTGTAGAAACCTCATGTAAGTTTTGTGCAGATATTTCAGACTCAAATCTCATTTCACAAGCTTCGGTAATGTCGGAGGGAAGAAAACGTCTCACAGGTCTGAAACATCAGAGTGAGAGACAGAAGTCACACAGGGATTAATGAATCATGGAAGAGAGTTGATGCTCGACAGACTGAGAAGAAACGCAGCAACACGACGAGCTGTACTTTACATTCACTCCTTATCTGCACCAGCCCGCTGGAATATCTCAGCAGCCCTTTGATGGATTGCCATGAAATGCTGTAACAGTGGTTTTCGGTGCCCACAGGATGAATCTAAAGGACTTTGATGATCCCCTGACTTTACTCGGGTGACACCATGAGGTTGACGTGAGTTAGAAAAACACTTCTTATTGGACAGATTAAACTCTGTAGATTGCTTCGTGTCGTCCTCAGGATGAAGTGAAATAACTTTGTTAGCTGTTAAGTTTTCACAGATTCATCCTGAGCTGCACGTCTCTGCATAAATGAACTCATGTTGAGAGAAAAACTGTCTAAAAGAGATTTATCCAGCGTGTGAGGAAAAACTTTGGAGTGTTTGTTTGCTGAACAAGGCCACAGAGGACGAGTGTGTCGGGGTCGGATCAGAGGCTGTTGGTGGTGCGCTGCAGTTTGCACGGCCTCCTGGGGAAAACGCATTCTTCATCTCCGCCTACTCAGACCAGAAACCTCAGTGTCAAGGCCCCAGAGCTTTCTGTTTCTCCTTCTTCGTCGTCTTCTGTTCTTCAGAGCCTCCTCCTCCTCACTCTAAATTGCCTGTGAACTCGTTTAACTTATCATTATGTGATGTCGTAGACTGCACATGTGGGATACACACTTAAAGATTTCAGTCCCCGGTAACAGTGTCGTTGCAGAGGTGCGTGTATCGTGCACCTCTATCCATGCATGAAATATTAGTACAAGTAGAACAATGTAATGAGGCAGCTACTCTTAAGGTGGCGTTTCTCAATATGTCACAGATGAATTATCCTTCACGCAGGGATCACATCTGTGGGAGAGATCGATCTCGTCTTATTGTTTTGAAAACATATGTCTCTGCAAACCAAGGAGAGAGGACATCTTTATTTTCCATCAGAATACAAAGCGATCCAAACATTCACACGTATTAAATGTCTTTTTTTCTTGCTTCGTTCACCTTCTATGTTCCCGTGTCTGCAGGCTTTCAGTGGACTTTGCGTTAATTTCCTGCACACTTACTGACTCATCTAAACCTAACCAGGAATCTACGGGTGATGTGTTACAGCTGGTCCGTGCACGGATCATGGTTTTCCCTCGAGCCTCAGTCTGGGAGTTTTACATTTTGTCGTGCTTTGAGTTTGTTCCTTGTCGTGCTAATAAATTCCAAGGTTGCGATTGTTTGAAATGTTGAAAGGATTCAAAGGCAGCTTAACCCTAACTCTAACCTAAACCTAATTCTGAACCAGCCGTTGTGAGGACCATCCAAAATGACACACACACACACACACACTCATTGATCCATCACCTCTGCTGCTGCTCTGACTGACGCATGGCCACAGCCTCGCTCCTCCTCTGCCGCGGTCCCCATGGTAACGCGCGGAGGAGAGCAGCTTAGCAACAGAGAGAGAGAGACAGAGAGGGAGAGAGAGAGAGAGAGAGAGAGAGAGAGAGAGAGAGGCAGCATCTCTGGACCAGACAGCCCGGAGCCATCTATACACTGGAGCCACACAGAGGGAGCAGCAGCACATCTGGAGAACATCTTCAACGCGTAAGTGCCACATCTGTAACATCTCTCTGGGTTTATCTTAGTGTGGGTGAGATGGAGATAATGATGTGATCAGGCTCCTCTCCATCCTCCTCCTCCTCCAGGATCCACAGACTGTGTATTTATCTGTGATCTCCTGCCTCCCTCTCCACAGTCAGTATGAAGTTCGTGCTGGTGCTGGTGGGAGCGGGCACCTTGGCCTTCCTCGGCGCCGTCATCTGCATCGTCGCCAGTGTTTATCCCCGGAAACAAGACGCGCCTCTCAGCGATAACGGCACCCTGACGTCGGAGTCGCTGCTCCAGCCTCTGGAGCCCGGCTCGGTGGCGCACGCCGGGCCGCTGGGCGCACTGCACGGCGCCGAGTCCTACGATGGAGGCAACGCGCTCGGCGGCATCGGACTGGAGGTGCCCACTCTGAACGAGCTCAACCTCGGCGAGGAGACGGGAGGAGGCTCCGCCAAGCAGTTCAGCTTCAGCCGCCTGATCTGCACCCCTGTGCCGGTGGGAGAGTGCAAGACGAAGGGTCTGAGGCGGGAGCAGCAGCAGCAGCAAGCGGACGAGCCGCTGTACGGAGCCGGGGACGAGGACTGGACTTACCTCCGCACCACCGCGGAGGAGCTCCGGCAGATGGTCCTGCAGCAGAACGACCAGATCCTCATGGACCAGAGGACGATCCGGGAGCTGACGGGGAAGCTGAGCGAGTGCGAGAGCGGCCTGGAGGACGACAGGACCGTCCCGGAGCGGAGCATCGGGGTGTGGAGCGGGAACCGGCGCGTCATGGCCGGGGACGAGGTGAGCTCCTCCACCGCGGCGCAGCTGCAGACGGCTCGGGCTGTGGAGGAGCTGGCCCGGGCCATCATGGACCTGAAGGACCGCATAGAGAAACTGGAGGTGAGTGGAAACACAGTGAGTCCAGAGCAGAGTAACTTTGGATAAAAACCTGTTGTCCCTGCTGCTCCACATTTGTTTGACAGCAGGAGATTTGGACTCATAACAGAATTATGACTCAGCCATTGTTTTCCAGGGACTAAATCAGGCCTGAACACCCACTTCTCCCAGTGAGCATTCTGTGTGAAGGACAGTTTAAGACCTCAGGGGAAAAGTGGAGAAATAATCCTCTCAGATATTTTTATACTTCACTAAAAACAGCCTCAATTCTTAAGTTTAGTAAAGTGCCACCTCCCTCTGCTGCTTTCAGAGATAAGGGCTTTAAATGCGTCTATGTTTAGCTCCTTCTCCTCCTCTCCTCCAGCTTTTATCATCACCTCCTCACAAGTCACTCCTCATCTCTCTTTTTATTTTGCACACGCTCCCCTGCATGGACCCAAGGGAAATCTGTCCACCCCGCTGGCCCTCACCCACCCACCCACCCACAGCAAGCCACCCGCCTCCCAGCTGCCTCTCCCCCTCTATCTCTGCATCCAACAGCAGGAGAGGGAGGATAAATAAAAGATGAAGCTGGCTGGACAGGAAGGAGGAGGGTGGTGCTGGTGATGGAGGAGAGTCAGGTGTGTGTATGTGTGTGTATGTGTGTGTGTGTGTGTGTTTGTGTGCTGAGATTGAGAGGTATAGAGGCAACAAACACACACACTCACTGCAGCATCAGCGCCACCCTGAGCACAGTCAGTTACAAGGTTGACTCTGTCAGTGTGAATTTATATCCTGGACGTCCACACCTCGTCCTGCCTCAGCAGCTCTGTTGATATTAAATATCGCCCTCGCAGACGCCTCAAACCACAGCCGCATCTCTCCCTCTCTCTCTTTTTACTGCTGCTTCCCCTTACTTCTGTAATTTCTTCTAACGAGCACGGATGGGCTGTTTTCTCATAATTATTCCTTAACGTTAGTGAGTCCTCCTCAAACACAATAAACTGTCACTTTTTATTGTTTGTGTGCTGGACGTTGTGTGCAGAGCCTTTTAAAAACCGTCTCTGGTGCAGAGTGAAGTTGGAAAACGTTGTGTTCGTCCTGCCTGGTTTATCTGCACTGAACTGTTTTGCTGCCGCTGCTCGTCTACTACCACCTTCTTTGTTTCCCATCAAACGTGATATCTTCACTTGTGTGACTGACAACACGCGGACGTCACATGTTGTATGACAGAGACACTTTCAGTCCCCGGTAGTTGTGTCGTTGCAGAAGTGTGTGTATCGAGCATGTCAGGGTGCATGAGTGAGGGTGGAGGTTTGAGTCCGTGCATGAAATATAAGCACAAGTAGACACAATGAAATGAGGCACAACCGCAAATCACCTCCTAATACACACACACACACACACACTCTGTTCTGCAGGAAGACTTTGCATTGACTTGCATTCATTTCCTGCAGAATAACTGAGACTTTAATCACAGGCCATACCCTATATACATATTCATTTAGTTTTTAATCCTGGATGTGCAGATCCAGTCCCGCCTCAGCTCCTGTCTCTTTGTTATTTATTGCCCTCATAGCATCTTATTCTCAAACAGCAGCATTTTTCCAACTTCTGCGATTAATTCTAATACTGTCGCTGTCGGTCTGATACTTTGATAAACACAACACCGCTCACTGTGTTTTTACTCCTCCTCCGTCTGTATCATTTCCTATATTACTGTCCTGAAGAGTAACATTGTTCTATATATGCTGCTGCAACGAAGAGAGCAACAGACTCTACTTTTGCCTTCATGTTAAATGTCTTAACGTCCTCCAGGTGCAGCTGATCGGGAACTAAACGTCCAGTATCTTGACCAGATGTTCACTGTAACGATTAAATTGAATCAATCAGATGAATCACAATCTTTCCAGCAGAGACACTAAACCAAATTGATCAATACGTAATCATTGAAAACTGCAATAAACATAACACACACTTTATACGGAAGACAGAGCCAGAGATGTTTGTGCTACTCATGTTATTCAGAGTAAAGGCAGAGTCTGCGTAAGTCCAATGCAAAGAATTTAATTGAAAAGCAGAACTTTTCATCTTTAGATCTTCTTTAGGGAAAAACTATAAAAGGGAATCTCAGAGCTTCAAATGGCATCAAAAAAAAAAAATCAAGATTCACTGGAAGCTTCGCAGATACAAAACATCACAAAGGCGATGAAAAGCTATGAAAATATCCATCAAGAGTAAATGAATGAAGAGGAAAGCAGTGCTGAGCATGTTTGGCTCCCGAGCAAAGCAGACTGTGTCTATCTTTTACAATTCAATTGATGTTACACAGAAAAACACATTTTCACGTCCTGTCTGTAAATAATATGTTGAGAAGTGCTAAACCATACGAGAAGAAGTTGAGTCCATAAACTCTTCAGGGAAATGTTGACTGACGTTATAAATGAAGTGAGAAATAGAGTCATTTTCTATAGAAACTCATTACGCTCATACAAGAGATTGCAGGATTAAGGTTCTTACACACTGGCTTCACTTTCTGGGGCCGGAGTCTACGTCCAGTCAGATAACTTTATAATTCTATTATTCATCAAAGATCTCCCATGAACAGGTTTTTCTCTTTTCTTCTCTTCACTGCGTTTCATTTATTAACTCTCTTCATCTCTGCTTGGGAGTTTTTCATCGTTAATATATTTTACATACCTACTCAACCTTTGTGGCCCCCCCACCCTCTCTTGCAGGCGGAGATAGGCCCTGCTGCATTGAACCTCAGCGACTCATCCGTGGGTACAAGCGGCAGCAGCAGTAACACCGGCAGCAGCAGCAGCAGCAGCAGCAGCACCAGCAGCAGCAGCAGCAGCCCGGCTGGTAACACCGTCAAGGCCCCTGCTCCATCCGCCGGAAGTGCTTCCTCCCCACCTGCAGCCGCTGCCCCAGGCAGCCGCCGTCCCGCCTCCCCTGCTTCCCCTGCGTCCCCCGCTTCCCCCGCCTCCAAACCCACCTCTCCTAAGGTGTCCCCCGGGCGTGGAAAGGGCACCTGGAGGGTGGAGGACCTGGAGGGGGAGCTGGAGAGGAAGATCAAGATGTTGGAAAAGGAGCGTCAGGCCATGAGGAAAGAGACTCAGGGGCAACACGAGAAGATCAATCAGGGGCTCGACACGGTCAACCACCGCGTCACTGAGCTCGAACACAGTGAGTGTGGGGGAGACGTAAAGGTGATGGGGTGGTGGATGAAGGGATGTATGGATGACCTGTTGTAGAGAGGGTGGTAGACCACAGCCTCATTGAGATGACTCACATGAGAGCTGACACTTTAATGAGCTCTGTGGACGAACGGTGTCATCACAGCAGAGAAGAGGCAGTGGATTAAAACAAGGTGATTCATGAGTTCCGAAGGTTGTGAAATGTCAAATGGGGCCGGGAGGGGTTTATAGAAATAAAAAAAAAATTACATAAATTAATTACTGCCGTTCACAAGAACCTGCGAAACTTCATAACGAATATATTCATAAATGTCTGCGGCCGACAGTGATGCAGTTGGGAAGTGTCACATTGGTTCTGAAGGGTTTCAAGGTAACTGTAGGTGAGAGCTAACGATGGGAGAAGTAGAGAGAGACGGATAAAAAGAAAATCACTTCTCGAGTCTCTTTTTATCTCTGTCGCTCCCCTGAACTCTCCGCCTGTCTCTTCATCCTCCTGCTGCAAGACCTTCACTGTGGCCTCGAGTTAGAAGAGTAGATCGTTACCTGTAACAGGCGCTGTGGGGGCGTTGGTGCACAAACTGGCGGGGACAAGTACGAATGACAGTGTCCTTGCATGAATGGGCCATTAACACATCAACAACTCTTCTATCTGTCGGCCTCATCCCTGCACCTCCCCGTCTGACTGTTTCTCTTTATCTCCTTCGTCTCAGCGCTGACAGAGCCGCCGTTCCCCGACGGCTTCGTCCTCTCCTTCCCCATGCGGACTAACTACATGTACGGCCTGGTGAGGAAGGAGATAACTGAGATGTACGCCTTCACTGCCTGCGTGTGGTTGAAGGCCAAAGAAGGCGGCATCGGGACCCCCTTCTCCTACTCGGTGCCGGGGCAGCCCAACGAGCTGGTGCTGCTGCAGGGCGTCCACAACCCCGTGGAGCTGCTCATCAACGACAAGGTATAGAGGTTGTTTATTGTGAAGTGTATTTTGTGAAAGGAAATCAATGACCACTTCTGGTGAAAAAGATTGAACATGTTGTACCCTGCAGGTTTCCTTCTAAAATGGAAATTGTTATTAGTTTATACCAATCTCGGAGCCAATTGGCTGTCTACTGACGATGAATTAGCCTCTGGTGGGGAACGGGCGCTCGTCTCTATTTACATCTATCTGCGTATGAAAGCAGATGAATTAAAAAGCAGATAGTCGATGCATTTGGGTCGATGTGTTCCTTTTCTGTTTCCTCTGTTTATGAACTGTTAACCTACAGGTAACCAAAGCCATTTTTTTATTAAGATTACATGAAAACAAACTGCAGCATTGCAAAAGTCCTGTTACTGTTTCAGCGAGTATATGAATGTTCAAGATGTGGGTTGGTGTATATGTGTGTTGACTGCCCTCTCTGCTTCACCAACAATTGAAATCATCACTGTTAAAGAAATGAAAAATGAATCCGCCCACTAAAACAGATGGTGCTCTTGAGCAACGCATAAATTATTCAAAATTGCATTTTAATAACAGTGATTTACCCAAGAATAAATACAACAGCAAATGGGGACATTCATTTGATTATAATTTCTTCCCAAAATAAATGGTGCAAACGTCCCAGAGGACCCCGTCTTTTTATTTTGTCACGTTTATTGTGGGCCCACAGCAAACATATGTTACCGAGAGGACACGGCACAGAGGCCAGCTCTATCCAGCTGTCGTTTTATGTTGTGTGCTACTGCTTTCTTTTTATAGAGCTTAGGCTTATATCCCCCATGACAGAGCGGAGTGCTGGTTTGCGGCAGTGATGGGAGGAAGGTTGGGGCAGGACCGAGCTCTGCTGACATAAACCTGTCAGGGAGGGTGTAACCACAGCCTCTGTGCTCTCTCACCCGTAGGTGGCGCAGCTGCCCCTGTCCCTACCGCAGGACGAGTGGCAGCACATCTGTGTCAGCTGGACCCTGAGGGACGGGGTATGGAAGGCTTATCAGGGCGGGAAGATGAAGGGCAGGGGGGAGGGACTGGCTGCCTGGCACCCCATCAAACCAGGAGGGGTCCTCATACTAGGACAGGAGCAGGTGAGACGGATGGATGGATCTCATAATCAATGAATGAATGGATGGATGGATGGATGAAGTACTGAAATTATGGACTTTGGACAGATTGGTTGGTGAACAGATATACGGATGGATGGATGGATGGATGATGGAGCAGTAAATTAAAGGATGGATGGACTATTTGTCAGATGAATTAGCGGATAGATGGATGGATCAACAGATTAATGGATGGTTTGATGGATGGATGGACAGATAGATGGATGCATGAATGGATGGATGAACAGTTCGATGGATGAATCATCGAATGGATGGATGGATGAATAAACTCTTTTAGGGGCGCACCAGCAGACACACATGAACAGACAGAAACCTTAATGATGTTTATCCTCACACTGGTCGCCCCCTCTCTCTCCTTCATTAGCGAGACAACCACGTTACATAACCATTATGAAGTCTGACATTATCAGTCCTGCACGGTGTCATAAGAACGACGCAAAGGCCACTCGGCATCTCATTGTCCATGCATAAAGGATCCAAATCAGAGCGCTCTGGGTACCAGTGCTGCAAGATGCTGCAATGATGCAACAACACTTGATTTAATGAACATTTTCTAAAGAGAGAGAGAGAGGGAGNAAGCCACCCGCCTCCCAGCTGCCTCTCCCCCTCTATCTCTGCATCCAACAGCAGGAGAGGGAGGATAAATAAAAGATGAAGCTGGCTGGACAGGAAGGAGGAGGGTGGTGCTGGTGATGGAGGAGAGTCAGGTGTGTGTATGTGTGTGTATGTGTGTGTGTGTGTGTGTTTGTGTGCTGAGATTGAGAGGTATAGAGGCAACAAACACACACACTCACTGCAGCATCAGCGCCACCCTGAGCACAGTCAGTTACAAGGTTGACTCTGTCAGTGTGAATTTATATCCTGGACGTCCACACCTCGTCCTGCCTCAGCAGCTCTGTTGATATTAAATATCGCCCTCGCAGACGCCTCAAACCACAGCCGCATCTCTCCCTCTCTCTCTTTTTACTGCTGCTTCCCCTTACTTCTGTAATTTCTTCTAACGAGCACGGATGGGCTGTTTTCTCATAATTATTCCTTAACGTTAGTGAGTCCTCCTCAAACACAATAAACTGTCACTTTTTATTGTTTGTGTGCTGGACGTTGTGTGCAGAGCCTTTTAAAAACCGTCTCTGGTGCAGAGTGAAGTTGGAAAACGTTGTGTTCGTCCTGCCTGGTTTATCTGCACTGAACTGTTTTGCTGCCGCTGCTCGTCTACTACCACCTTCTTTGTTTCCCATCAAACGTGATATCTTCACTTGTGTGACTGACAACACGCGGACGTCACATGTTGTATGACAGAGACACTTTCAGTCCCCGGTAGTTGTGTCGTTGCAGAAGTGTGTGTATCGAGCATGTCAGGGTGCATGAGTGAGGGTGGAGGTTTGAGTCCGTGCATGAAATATAAGCACAAGTAGACACAATGAAATGAGGCACAACCGCAAATCACCTCCTAATACACACACACACACACACACTCTGTTCTGCAGGAAGACTTTGCATTGACTTGCATTCATTTCCTGCAGAATAACTGAGACTTTAATCACAGGCCATACCCTATATACATATTCATTTAGTTTTTAATCCTGGATGTGCAGATCCAGTCCCGCCTCAGCTCCTGTCTCTTTGTTATTTATTGCCCTCATAGCATCTTATTCTCAAACAGCAGCATTTTTCCAACTTCTGCGATTAATTCTAATACTGTCGCTGTCGGTCTGATACTTTGATAAACACAACACCGCTCACTGTGTTTTTACTCCTCCTCCGTCTGTATCATTTCCTATATTACTGTCCTGAAGAGTAACATTGTTCTATATATGCTGCTGCAACGAAGAGAGCAACAGACTCTACTTTTGCCTTCATGTTAAATGTCTTAACGTCCTCCAGGTGCAGCTGATCGGGAACTAAACGTCCAGTATCTTGACCAGATGTTCACTGTAACGATTAAATTGAATCAATCAGATGAATCACAATCTTTCCAGCAGAGACACTAAACCAAATTGATCAATACGTAATCATTGAAAACTGCAATAAACATAACACACACTTTATACGGAAGACAGAGCCAGAGATGTTTGTGCTACTCATGTTATTCAGAGTAAAGGCAGAGTCTGCGTAAGTCCAATGCAAAGAATTTAATTGAAAAGCAGAACTTTTCATCTTTAGATCTTCTTTAGGGAAAAACTATAAAAGGGAATCTCAGAGCTTCAAATGGCATCAAAAAAAAAAAATCAAGATTCACTGGAAGCTTCGCAGATACAAAACATCACAAAGGCGATGAAAAGCTATGAAAATATCCATCAAGAGTAAATGAATGAAGAGGAAAGCAGTGCTGAGCATGTTTGGCTCCCGAGCAAAGCAGACTGTGTCTATCTTTTACAATTCAATTGATGTTACACAGAAAAACACATTTTCACGTCCTGTCTGTAAATAATATGTTGAGAAGTGCTAAACCATACGAGAAGAAGTTGAGTCCATAAACTCTTCAGGGAAATGTTGACTGACGTTATAAATGAAGTGAGAAATAGAGTCATTTTCTATAGAAACTCATTACGCTCATACAAGAGATTGCAGGATTAAGGTTCTTACACACTGGCTTCACTTTCTGGGGCCGGAGTCTACGTCCAGTCAGATAACTTTATAATTCTATTATTCATCAAAGATCTCCCATGAACAGGTTTTTCTCTTTTCTTCTCTTCACTGCGTTTCATTTATTAACTCTCTTCATCTCTGCTTGGGAGTTTTTCATCGTTAATATATTTTACATACCTACTCAACCTTTGTGGCCCCCCCACCCTCTCTTGCAGGCGGAGATAGGCCCTGCTGCATTGAACCTCAGCGACTCATCCGTGGGTACAAGCGGCAGCAGCAGTAACACCGGCAGCAGCAGCAGCAGCAGCAGCAGCACCAGCAGCAGCAGCAGCAGCCCGGCTGGTAACACCGTCAAGGCCCCTGCTCCATCCGCCGGAAGTGCTTCCTCCCCACCTGCAGCCGCTGCCCCAGGCAGCCGCCGTCCCGCCTCCCCTGCTTCCCCTGCGTCCCCCGCTTCCCCCGCCTCCAAACCCACCTCTCCTAAGGTGTCCCCCGGGCGTGGAAAGGGCACCTGGAGGGTGGAGGACCTGGAGGGGGAGCTGGAGAGGAAGATCAAGATGTTGGAAAAGGAGCGTCAGGCCATGAGGAAAGAGACTCAGGGGCAACACGAGAAGATCAATCAGGGGCTCGACACGGTCAACCACCGCGTCACTGAGCTCGAACACAGTGAGTGTGGGGGAGACGTAAAGGTGATGGGGTGGTGGATGAAGGGATGTATGGATGACCTGTTGTAGAGAGGGTGGTAGACCACAGCCTCATTGAGATGACTCACATGAGAGCTGACACTTTAATGAGCTCTGTGGACGAACGGTGTCATCACAGCAGAGAAGAGGCAGTGGATTAAAACAAGGTGATTCATGAGTTCCGAAGGTTGTGAAATGTCAAATGGGGCCGGGAGGGGTTTATAGAAATAAAAAAAAAATTACATAAATTAATTACTGCCGTTCACAAGAACCTGCGAAACTTCATAACGAATATATTCATAAATGTCTGCGGCCGACAGTGATGCAGTTGGGAAGTGTCACATTGGTTCTGAAGGGTTTCAAGGTAACTGTAGGTGAGAGCTAACGATGGGAGAAGTAGAGAGAGACGGATAAAAAGAAAATCACTTCTCGAGTCTCTTTTTATCTCTGTCGCTCCCCTGAACTCTCCGCCTGTCTCTTCATCCTCCTGCTGCAAGACCTTCACTGTGGCCTCGAGTTAGAAGAGTAGATCGTTACCTGTAACAGGCGCTGTGGGGGCGTTGGTGCACAAACTGGCGGGGACAAGTACGAATGACAGTGTCCTTGCATGAATGGGCCATTAACACATCAACAACTCTTCTATCTGTCGGCCTCATCCCTGCACCTCCCCGTCTGACTGTTTCTCTTTATCTCCTTCGTCTCAGCGCTGACAGAGCCGCCGTTCCCCGACGGCTTCGTCCTCTCCTTCCCCATGCGGACTAACTACATGTACGGCCTGGTGAGGAAGGAGATAACTGAGATGTACGCCTTCACTGCCTGCGTGTGGTTGAAGGCCAAAGAAGGCGGCATCGGGACCCCCTTCTCCTACTCGGTGCCGGGGCAGCCCAACGAGCTGGTGCTGCTGCAGGGCGTCCACAACCCCGTGGAGCTGCTCATCAACGACAAGGTATAGAGGTTGTTTATTGTGAAGTGTATTTTGTGAAAGGAAATCAATGACCACTTCTGGTGAAAAAGATTGAACATGTTGTACCCTGCAGGTTTCCTTCTAAAATGGAAATTGTTATTAGTTTATACCAATCTCGGAGCCAATTGGCTGTCTACTGACGATGAATTAGCCTCTGGTGGGGAACGGGCGCTCGTCTCTATTTACATCTATCTGCGTATGAAAGCAGATGAATTAAAAAGCAGATAGTCGATGCATTTGGGTCGATGTGTTCCTTTTCTGTTTCCTCTGTTTATGAACTGTTAACCTACAGGTAACCAAAGCCATTTTTTTATTAAGATTACATGAAAACAAACTGCAGCATTGCAAAAGTCCTGTTACTGTTTCAGCGAGTATATGAATGTTCAAGATGTGGGTTGGTGTATATGTGTGTTGACTGCCCTCTCTGCTTCACCAACAATTGAAATCATCACTGTTAAAGAAATGAAAAATGAATCCGCCCACTAAAACAGATGGTGCTCTTGAGCAACGCATAAATTATTCAAAATTGCATTTTAATAACAGTGATTTACCCAAGAATAAATACAACAGCAAATGGGGACATTCATTTGATTATAATTTCTTCCCAAAATAAATGGTGCAAACGTCCCAGAGGACCCCGTCTTTTTATTTTGTCACGTTTATTGTGGGCCCACAGCAAACATATGTTACCGAGAGGACACGGCACAGAGGCCAGCTCTATCCAGCTGTCGTTTTATGTTGTGTGCTACTGCTTTCTTTTTATAGAGCTTAGGCTTATATCCCCCATGACAGAGCGGAGTGCTGGTTTGCGGCAGTGATGGGAGGAAGGTTGGGGCAGGACCGAGCTCTGCTGACATAAACCTGTCAGGGAGGGTGTAACCACAGCCTCTGTGCTCTCTCACCCGTAGGTGGCGCAGCTGCCCCTGTCCCTACCGCAGGACGAGTGGCAGCACATCTGTGTCAGCTGGACCCTGAGGGACGGGGTATGGAAGGCTTATCAGGGCGGGAAGATGAAGGGCAGGGGGGAGGGACTGGCTGCCTGGCACCCCATCAAACCAGGAGGGGTCCTCATACTAGGACAGGAGCAGGTGAGACGGATGGATGGATCTCATAATCAATGAATGAATGGATGGATGGATGGATGAAGTACTGAAATTATGGACTTTGGACAGATTGGTTGGTGAACAGATATACGGATGGATGGATGGATGGATGATGGAGCAGTAAATTAAAGGATGGATGGACTATTTGTCAGATGAATTAGCGGATAGATGGATGGATCAACAGATTAATGGATGGTTTGATGGATGGATGGACAGATAGATGGATGCATGAATGGATGGATGAACAGTTCGATGGATGAATCATCGAATGGATGGATGGATGAATAAACTCTTTTAGGGGCGCACCAGCAGACACACATGAACAGACAGAAACCTTAATGATGTTTATCCTCACACTGGTCGCCCCCTCTCTCTCCTTCATTAGCGAGACAACCACGTTACATAACCATTATGAAGTCTGACATTATCAGTCCTGCACGGTGTCATAAGAACGACGCAAAGGCCACTCGGCATCTCATTGTCCATGCATAAAGGATCCAAATCAGAGCGCTCTGGGTACCAGTGCTGCAAGATGCTGCAATGATGCAACAACACTTGATTTAATGAACATTTTCTAAAGAGAGAGAGAGAGGGAGGGGGGGAGAGAGAGAGAGAGAGAGAGAGGGAGAGTGCTTTATTAATCTGTCTGGTGGATGAATGATGATCCCTGGACATTCATTTTTCAAAGATGCTTTGAATGGACTTTTTAAAAATCTTTTTTAAAGAGGAATCATCAAAACACAATATTTCTTTGTCTGGATAAAGCTTTGGATGCACTTTAACTCTCACTGGGCCAGAAAATAAAAACACTATTCACTTCACAGCAATGTCCTGCAGTTCTCAGGGTTAGAGATTATATAATAATCATCTCAATATACAACATGTATAAATTCAAAAATTGCCCAGGCAGTTTCGGTGCCACTGGACAGTGAGGGGATGCTTTTGAGAGAGAGTGAATCAAACCAAACTTTCGTCTCTTGGTTAATCCTGATAGAATTTTAACTTTTTAACCTTTTTCAATCTCCTCCCGAAGGATACGTTGGGCGGGCGATTCGATGCCTCGCAGGCCCTGGTCGGGGAGCTCTCCCAGTTCAACCTGTGGGATCGGGTGCTGAAGCCCATAGAAGTGGCTGCCCTGGCCGAGTGCAGTTCCCCCGCGCTTGGCAACATCGCCCCCTGGACCGACCACGACGTAGATGTCTATGGCGGTGCGACCAAGGAGTCCCTGGACCCCTGCCACGCTGCCCAGAGATCCAACCCCTCCAGCCCGAAACAGTGAGGGGTGACAAAGAGAATTCGGCCATGGGTGGTCGTGGTATAGGTCGTTTTGGGAGTTGATTCAGGAGTTTGAAGGCACGTAATATTGGACTTTACAGTATATTTATTTGTTTGGGGAAGGAAACCTTTCTGGTGGATGACAGGTTAGGGCTCCTAGGTCGTTCAGAGTGGTGTATCTGTTTTGTTTTTTGTGTTGGTGTCCACGCTCGTGTGTTAACTTCTGCAGTGAGATACGATGAGTTTAGTCGTGAATATTGAAGGTTGCATGGGTGGATCAACTTCTGGCATGAACTGGACTATGATGGAATATTTCCATAAGCGATTATTAATTGGCTCCGGCTGCTCTCTGCTGTGGGTAAAAATCTGTTGGGCCAGTTCACTTCACGTGGTTGTTGAGGCAGAGGGCTGGGTCGGGGTTGAATGCAGATATGGACGAACCTCTCATGATGCCATAGCCAATCCTTTACTTCATTTTACAACAAAGAGACACAAAGTTCTATCTTTCTTTCTGCCCTGTCCAGTTAGCTGAAAGTGATGCTATCATGGCAACACTGACTTCAACACTCAGTGTGAAACAAAAGGAGTTTTGTTCAATTGGTTTTGACTCTATAAGATCCTGTTGAGTAACGTCTGTGTTCTTTTAAGTTTTCTATATTGCGAAACCATGATTTGGTAAAACGGTGGTCTTATAAATGTACAGTATATTGTGTAATGTATCTCTGCTAATGTTGCTCTGTGCCAGTCTGCTGCCCCTGCTGTTGCCTCTCACACACACAACTCACAGTCCTGCAAAGTCAGATTTGCAGCTCAAACAAAGCAGCGCTCGACCTTTGATTGGCGTCTGAAAACGATTCACTGTACTCACGGCTGCAGCCACATCACTCTGGAGTTTTCAAGCACCTGAAATAATAACTTGGAAACGCATTCACGCACATGCCCAGTGTACTCCAGTGGTCATGTGATATGCTTTTCCAGAAGTGTTAGTGCAGACTGAGATTATTATGTTTGACTCACACGCAAGTGTTGCTTAAAAGCTTGACAGTTGACACCTGTTCTTGGTGGCAAGACACACAACATGCTATCAATACAGTGATAAATAAATTAACACACATCGGGTTCACCAGCTGCCTCCGCCTCTGCTTTCACATAACCGTCTGTGGGGCTGTGGAGCTCTGTGGCAGACGGTAAAGTATCTATCCATCTATTTGATTGGCTAGCGGCTGCCCTTGAGTGTTAGCTTGAACGTGATTTCATTGGCTGGAAGTTGAGCTCTGCAGCGAGAACAACGCGACACAACAGAACCACAACGCAATAGATGCCATCACCCCAAACAAAGTGAATTAGCAGCGTTATGGTTGACGTGTCCAACGTGGAAGTGTGAGTCCAGCATAACAATACAGAGCGACAACACGTTCGGTTTTAAAACGAGAACGCCCCAGTGTGGCTGTAGCCTGACATCGTGACCAACCTGAGTGCGTTTTCTGACATCGTGATGTATCCTTGAATGTCATCCAGATGGAATGTGAGTATATGTGCATGACCAGGGTCAAACTAGAAATGTGTCAATGACAAAGTTGGTAAACTCCGTAAGCTGCCCCACGCTCTCTGAAGCACACAGATGTCTGTTGGTAAATCACATCCTCACAGAACACACGACCGACAGTGAGGATTTCTTCCTTGATGACCATTTTGTACTGCACATGGAACTCTGTATAAAAGATCAGCATGAAATGTTTGTGTTTATTCAACCTTGGAGCCGAGGTAGTCGACAGCAGGCGTCTGTCATCACCTAACAAACAAAAAATAACACAAACCAATGAAATAGATTTAAAACATGTGATGCATTTGATTCCCACATCAGCTTCTCCTCAATCCCGACGCCCTCTTTGATCACAATGAATTGTTAACGAAAGTTGACAGGAAGTTGATTTATTAGATAAAAATATTAACAGTAATATTAGACTTCATTTATGTAGCACATTTCAAAACATAGAAATGTAATATAAATATTAAGCACAATCAAAATAACAACATCGTGTTCCTTTAGACACATTATTTCCAGCACAGTCAGTTACTGTGTGTTGGACTTTTTAAATAAATGTAAAATATCCAGTCATATTAGAGATTTAATGTAAAGTGTGTTTAACAATAATTATTCTATCTTATCTGTGCCAGAACAACAGTATAGCCTCAAACAGAATTATTATCTGCTTCTATCTCCATCATAATAATCATCACAAAACATGGTGGAGACCAAAGGTTGGAATCAAACACACCCGGATGTTTTTTATCTGGTGTAGCTTCAGCCAGAAATATATATATTCACCAATGCTGTGATGCTGTAAACTTCCATTCTAGCGACGAGTCCTTATCTTCTGTTCTCTTTAGTTCAATGCAAGTTCAAAATGGACATCATAGGAATCAAGATTCGAGAGACTGTGAGGGTTGAGGGTTTGAATCTCACAACACAATCCGTTTTACCTCAAGACTTCAGCCTGTACGATTACAACACATAGGATAAGACACTGACTTGTGAAGTGCCTGTCTGGGCTCCGGTGCCCGAAGAAACAAGTGAAGACAAAAGTTTAAATGTTTTCTTCTTCTTCGTCGTCGTCGTCTCTTTCTTCTGCTTCGCTCTCTGTCACTTTTCTCCTTGTCTCATGCTTTTGGTCGTTGAAGGCTGTGAAAGTGTTGCACTCGTCCTTATTTGCATCTTCATGGATCTTCTATGATATTGTGAAATAGATGGAATAAAATAATAAAAATGGTTATGAAGACAATTCCAGACTCGTAGCTCAATTTATGTGTGTGTATGTGTGTGTGTGTGTGTGTGTTAATGTGTAGACGACGAGGAGGTTATTCATCAGAGAAACACGTCTTTTCATGTAGACGTAATAGTTTACTCATAGATTAAAAGAAAGCTCTGATTCGTGGCCACTGATCTTCACACACACAACACTTCTTAGCGTTGGGCCTCGGCTGAACTGTGATCTGATGTGTAACCTCCCACTGGTAACATTTCATTATTTTATTGGTCTCACTTTAGCTCAGCTTCCTCTCTTTCCCTGCGGCCACCACACATCAGAGTTATGACCGAAGGACTATGACTCAACTCCTCATAGTTTTTTAATCCCTGAAACTGCTCATAACAGCCAACCACCATTGTTACTGCTGCTGCCAATGAGTAATAGCAAAACCTGTGTTGTTGAAGTACGTCTGTTACTACATGTATTATATCGTAGTATATATACATACAAATATTGGATATAGTTGTATTTTTATTATGTTTAAGAATATGTATACACTTCTTAATTTTAGGCACCAACTTTCACACACTCATACGAGTTTCTTAAATATGCCAGATTATTTTGTCGTCAAGATCCATGAATGATTCTCTTGCAAATTCCTGGATCCACCACCTGATCCAGGTCCGCAGCAAATATTTAACAGTTTGTTTCCTGACACATCTGTCCAGAGGTTTTAATCTTCCTGACGAACAACAAATCAACCAGCGAACAAACGCACAGGGATGAAGCTGCAGGAGATATCAGGGATTTCTTCCCTCTCAGTGATTTTAATGATGATGAATCTCTGCTGCGTCTCTGTTGATCTCTGTCACAGCTTGTTAGCAGAGTCACATGGGGTCCTCCTTCCCCCTCCCCCACAATCTGCTTCCTCTGCTGTTGAATTATATATACACCTTAATCACCTCTCTCCAGACTTTATGGAAAATCCTCGGTTGACCCTGCACCACGCTCTCTGTCGCATTTCGACTCACCATGTTGATTTCACAGTAAAACTTCAGCCCTTTCATCATCTTTCTCCATTTGATGGCTCGTGCTCTGCTGCAGAGACGCTCGCAGCGAGTCTCAGCCTTCCTCGTGACTACAGATGAATTTAGTTCTCTCTGCGATGCTTCGCTTCATCACTTATTGCTCTTCTCCACTCTAGCAACCCTCCACATCCTCCACATCCCACACTGTAATTTCCCCGTCGATCAGTCCTTCACCTTGAACTGCTTCTCGCTCTGAACCTATCTTCCATTATCCCTCCACTTTCTTCATCATTAAGTGAGGCAGCATGTTGATATTTTTATTGAACATTTGGCCTCATCTCATATTTACCACAACGTGTTTATACAACACTTTCCCCTCACGGTGAAAACCTTCCTCCAGGTATTTATACCAACATCTCCTCCACCTCTCTTTCATCCGTCTCTCCTCACCTGTTGGCATCTTTTTCACTCCACCTTGTGTGAAAAACATCTCCATCTCCTTCCCTCCTTGTGTTTTGACACTTTTATTTCAGCTTCCTACCGGCCCTCTGGCACTTTTCTCTGTGAGCGTCTCACCTGGGTATTTAATGTTCCCTCTCTCGCTCTCTCTCAGTGTATTTTTGAGATGTTTCTCACTTGACCCAAGGCGAGTGCACGCAGTGGCTGATGCATGAGCCACGTTCATCAATATGATGAACACCACCAAAAGCAGGAATATAATAAAATCAATTATAGTAAATAATTGTATAGCCTACTGCCTATGAATAGCACTTTAGAAGTAGTTTATAGGGACTAGGAAAGGTAAGATAAGATAAGAAAAGAAAGGGTAAGGTAAGGTTAGATAAGATAAGGTAAAATAAGATTAGGCAGGATCAGGTAAGATTATATTGAAAACTATTGACAGATTATGCAATATGTATTGTAGGGAAACACAATAATATTGTGAGCACAGGTAAAAGTAATAATTAAAGACACAGTCGTCATGACCCTAGTTGTTCAAAGTCACTGTTAATCTGAGCCAAACAGATTTAAACCCGGTCTTCAAAGACTTGCGAGACAAGGACAGACAGAATTAAGGAGAGGAAAATAATCATGTGATCTGTTTGTCTGTCTCTCCAGGGATTGATTGACAATCCTCTCTAATCCTGAGGACAGCCATGGTTTCAGACACCAAATGAATCCAGATGTTCATGCTGGTGTTTATCGGCTCCAGTGTGATGCTAAAAGCACAAACCAGGTTTACGCAACAAACACACTGAGAGAAGTGGGACTATCTCACTTTCACAGCTTTGTGGTTTTGTGTGTGTGTGTG